TTTAACGTTCGAGCTGCCGAAAGGGACCTTTTCCTGCTACAATGGTTGCCGGATTTACCAGCAGAAGCTTGCAGATCGGGACAATCTGATTTATCATGCTCTGCTGAGGTAATTCCTGAAACTTCTTCATGTTGTGGACAATGTAATCGAGTTCAATCTGTTTTAGGAAATCGTAGCTCCGTGGAGATTTAAGAACCTTGATAAAAAAAGACTCCATTGTTTGTGCATATACTATATCACCTGGCTGGTGAAAACGCCGAAGTCTACGACTAAGTGCAGATTTGTAAAGATAGTCCTTTAGAGGCTCACCATATGATATAGGACCGAAACGGACCAGCCATAAATTTGGATTCTTCTGCGAGGTCTGCCAATTGAATATTCTTATTCCATCAAAGATTCCCTCTATTTGAAAATGTGTACTATTTATTAACTTTATTTTATTTATTTTTCAAAAAGTGTTGGGGGGGGCTGGCCCCCCAGGCCTTCCCTGATATGTTCTCCCTTTTGTAAGCCCCCACGGTTATAAGCTCACCTATCTGTTAACAAAAAAATACTTCCGCTTATAAGCCGGACGTATTATCATACGGACGTTAAGCTATCTCCAAAAGTATTGAAATGGATAAACACAAGGAAATACCACGTGAGCTTTCACGCGAAAACTTGATATCCTCACATATGAAAATAGTACCCTTCGACATCATGGTCAATTGACCACTACAGAAAATACCATAACATACCATAATGCTCTTTGTTTGTCACCCCAAAAAATTTTATATAAGCATTGTTTTGAGGGTCTGAATGGGGGAATCCACTTGTCCGTCGTTGGTTAAAATTCAGTTACTTTGTCGGTGAATCGGTTAAAATTTTCTATCTTTATCGGCTGTCGGTAAACTCCCCAGTTATTAAGTAAAGCACTTGTTAATTATTAATATTCAGGTTATGTATTTCATCCAGATTCAAGACTTTGATCCCTAACGAAAGAGTAAAACTTATAAAAATGCCTCATTTGATTGCACCTTTGTTCAGTTTGCCAATATAGTACTGATAAAATCACCAAAGCTTTTATTGTAAACGCGAACTTGGTTTCCCTGTTTACTAAAAGGCACATTAAGAAGTAATTAATTAATGGACATGGAGGATAACGCCCACTCGGCCTTTTGGATACTTAAATTATTTTTAGTGAAAAGCTGCAAGGGGTGACAGGTTGCCCATCGATACCTCAACCTCGTCCCTAGGGCACTTTGGACCTCCAAAGTCAGGGAAAAGCGCCCTGGGGACGAGGTTGTCTATACCTTTAATATTTTGGCTCTATTATACAAGCATGTCCTTTGCCATAATTTTCCTTTCTCAAGGAAATAATAGGTGGCTCTTTAAAAAGTTGGTTTTGTATGAGATTCGAATTTTCATTAAACTTCTTTTATAACAGAAACTAAGGGCTGGTATTTTGTCACGAAAGGCAATATTTCTTTTTCTTCCTTGTTGTTTTGTTTCAGAAGCGCGGCCTTCCTTTCTGTGAGTTTAACTTCTGTTAGCATACCCTGCGAACAGAGTCTCCGTCGATCTTCCTAGATAAGTCGGGAAGAAGAAGGAACCTGGGTCGCTTCCTCTTTCCCGACTTCTCTAGGAAGGATCGAAGCGACTCTGCTAGCAGGGTACTGTTAGCAATTTTTCTTTCCAAATTGTGAGGCTAGCCTCTGTCTATCAAGCGCTTTTTGAAATCTGAAATACTTCCTCAAACGTCCCTTTAGAGGAGTTTGTTCGTAGACTCAAGACTTGTCCTTTGAAAAATCCTTTTTAACACTAGGTGGGTGGCAAGAGGTGAAAATGTATCGCAGGACAAAACGTAATGTTGTGCCTTGGTACACAACTGTGTCCAAAAAGATTGTCTCAGTGTCAGATATTTTGGCCGTGAATTTCATGGTGGGGTGATGCAAGATTACTTGTTCCAAGAAAGCTACGATGTCTGGATTACTTATGTCCAATAGGGAAAAAATGTCATAAAGCGTTTTCAAACAGTTGGCTTAAAGACGGTTTTGCTTAAACTTTGTGTTTCACTATATGCCATGAAAATGATCACTGAATGATGGAAAGGAAACTGCTGCTATCTTTGTGCTCATCGTGGTACCTTAGGCTTGTACTGACAGTGCTTTCCATTCAACTGCAAAGACGTTTTTTTCGACAAGGATTAATCTAAGCATTTGTCGGACCGAAACAAGAAACGTTCGGTTTTTCCACCTTTTTCTTTTCGATAAAATTTAAAAAGTCGGTAGTATCTTTAAGGGTGTGACTTCTGAGATTTTGATATTGGTTGTAGCAATGTACCTGTATCAACATGAAATTCTTTCCGTTGGACCATCTGATAAGTCACAAATTTAAAGAGGTTACTTCCTAACGGCTAGAAAAAAATACAAAATGCTCCTTTTTCTGAAAACAAATATCAATTATGTCGACCCATGTCGGTAGTCGGTTAATAGGCTCATTTAGCAACAGAACGGCAACGTCAGTTGACGACGGCGCGCGCAAATCAAACGACTGGTTTAACCAATGGCAGAGCGGCTAATTCGGCACCGGAGGTCGAGTTAGTCCTTTCCGTGCGCTTTCCCGTTGTCAAATGACGTTTCCGTTTTGTTGCTAAATCAGCCTAATATTTTTCCTATCGGTAGTCGGTAATTTTTTTCTCGATTTGTCGGTAGTCAGTAATAGTTTTCGTCCTTTGTCTCTAGGCGGTTAACACCATTCACACCCTCTTGTTTTCAGCTTTTCTTAGGGCCATTTTAATTCTCAACAAAAACTAAAGACAATGTTTATGAAAAATTTTTGGGGGACAAACAAAGAGCATCATTCTCTATTTTCCAATTGCCCATAATACACTCTGTTTGCCCCCCAAATTCTGCATAAACCATTGTTTTTAAATGCTCCTGGGAGTACTGCATTTTCCCAAGAGCATTTTAAGACAATAAGTTATGCAAAATTTGGGGGGCAAACAGAGTGTATTATGGGCAATTGGAAAATAGTCAATGGTATGTTATGGTATATAGTTGTAGTTGCCAATTGACAACTACCGGAATGTATCATCCGCTGACCTGTATTACCTCATTTCGGACTCAGCTATACGAAGCTATCGATCAATCGAAGTTGAGTTTTTCTTTTCTTTAGATTACTCGCTTAAGTTTTGAAGTCTTAAGTTGGCCTAGTATTTTTACCGGTGAATGAAATTTTAAAGATCATTGTCCCTGTCATTGTTTGAAGTGAACGGTAAAAAACTTAAAAAGTTCTCCGTTTCTATGCTCGGACATCGGAATTAATACCGTAAATTGCCGCTAATAAGCAATGGGGTTATACATCTTCCTGAGGGGTTTCATTAGGCTTATAAATGGAGGGAGGGCTTATATCCGAGAGGGTTTATAACCGGAATAAAACAAAATCTTTAAAACAAGATATAACTGAGAACTGATCAACTACGTTTGGAATTTACGAGTTTTCCAAAATAAATTGATGCATTTCAATACAGTTGGAGATAGGTTAACGTCCGTATAGAGTCATAATCGGATGTATTTTTTATGGCTTTTATGTTAACAGGTAGGTGAGCAGAGCTTATAACTGTGGGGGTTTATAAGAAGTGAAGTTTATAAGCTCCGTATTTGCAAACTGAAACGATACAAGCACAGAAGACTTTTATGTCTGCATCTCATCGGTTTGAATTTAAAAGAAGAATTCTTGTACTCATGAGCTTGTTCATCCGTTGTACATGTTAACTATGTAGAGTTCATTTCTTGAACTATAAAACTAATCCATTAGGCCATCTCTCCCATAAATTATCTGTCCAGAAAAGCCTGAAAATCTTCTCTGACCACGAACAAAAACAAGTGTTTAAAAGTTGTTATCAACAAAGAAAAAAATTTGGAACGCTTCACGAATTTGCGTGTCATCCTTGCGCTTAAACTCACTCAATGTTAGAGCAATTTAAGAACAATTTAAGAACAGTTTAAACCAATCAGATGACTGCATTTGGTCAATTTAAGAACATTTAAGAACAACGCTGACCAATCACAGACAAAAGATTTTTGTCTTACTTTTGAAACCAAGATGGCGGCTGTGCTGTCGTAGATGTTTCCCTGAAATAACGTACAGCTCGAGGCGAAAGTGAAGGGAAAGAAAACCGAATTACTCGATAAGAAAGTAGAAAAGGATAAGTAACACACTTTCGCTGACTTTGTATCCCGCTTTGTATAGAGAAAGAGCGCCTACTTCGAACGGGAGAAGGAAATGTGATGGCGAAGGAATATCGTCAGATCGACAAGCAAGAAGCAGCTCATCATTCAGATAAGTTTTAATGTTTAGCCAAATGATTTCGATTTATTGAGTAATCTTAATGATGTTATTGCATAGATTTGAAGTAACTCTATACTTTTTTAAAATTCATGTACTTATTTGGAAGAAGCGTCGTAAGTTTGACGAAGCTGTCAAATGTAAACAGAACATATAAGATGTATCGCCTTATTTGACACTTCTCAAGTTTCGTAAAACCTTGGTTACGAAATTAAACAAAGTCAGGATTATAAGAGAAGTATTTCCTCTCAGCTGATCTTAGTTGACCGAAAGCTAGATTTGTTTGTCTGTACGGCCCTTCTTCTTTTACCCTTTTTGTGTGAAACACACACGTGTATTGCAAAGTTATGCCACCAAAGCGTCCTGATTTCCGTTTCCGTAACGAGGAAACTAAAGAATTGTTGTGGGCTGCCTCCGCTCGAGCCAAGGAAGTGGCCGAAATGATAAAAAAGCAGAAGAATGAAGGTTTCTTTGGACCTCAGTTATCAAAGGAGCAGGTTTGTTAGAACATTATTAAGTTAAGCAATTTAAATTTTAAGCTTAAGTTAATTCTTCCTATTTGTTATCAGTTTGTTTTCCTATTTTAATTGTAGTACAATCAAGTTGTTGCATATTAGCCCATTTTTGGAGTTCACTTAACTAACAAATTTCATTAATTTCCAAGTACCAAACATAATATGAGCTGTTTCATTCATTTAACTATACTGTTATTAGTGCTTAGTTTCACTTTTACTTCATGATCACAGTTACATTAGTCATTTTTATTTAAACAACAACAAAAAAAACAGGCTGAGTTAGAGGCAAAAGGACGTGTGCGTGACTCCGGTGGAGATGTGGATAATGAGGAGTGGGTCCTAAGCATGACTTCTCTGCAGTTTGGCAAGTACCGTGGCAAGAGTTTTGTGTGGCTTCTGCAGAATGATGTTGGTTGGGCTACCATGCTAATGGCTGACCACAAACGTGCTCGCGAGACAGCAAAGCGGTACGGGGATCCACAATGGGACAATAAAGAAGCTCTTTTTAGGTTAGTATAGTTAAGCATGCTGTTTTTAAGCAATAAAACGAACCTGATTTCTGTGCCACATCATGTATTAGCTGTAATGGCACAGTGTATTAAAAAAGAGAGATGTTTAGAAAGGGGTTTACATTAATTTTTCAGTACTTATGAGACTACCAATTTCCATGTTGTTTTCTAGCCATTTAATTGCCTTCAATGCACTCTGTGTTCTTTTGTTTCACTTATAGGTATGTTAGTCTTTTCCCAGAGATGATCAATGCCATTGGCAAAAGAATAAGCCAGAACAAAGCCAAGGCCAGTGGAGTGGGGTCTGGAGATGCTGAAGGGCATGCTCTTGTTGGTTTTGGACCATATAGTAGTATGACTAGGAAAGGACTCTTTGAGTCAGTGGACCAAAACCACAAAAGCTATGTACAAGAGCTCCTCCATCACCCAGTAACACATCCCGGTGGTCAGCTGGATAAGATTAAACAGTATCTTATAAGGAGGCAGCAGGAGCAGGAAAAAAATGACGATGATGCCCTCGCTCGATTTGCTGATGAGGTTGAGAAAAGAATGGGTGCAGGTAATAAATAAAACTGATTGACAGTATCATATTTTAGAAATATATTATATTAAACTTGTGTGTTGTGGCATAGTTCAAGGTTTCCTGTAAAAGGGTGTAATTTGCTTATTAGTAATAAGCAAATTAGATCCTTTTTCCTCAATTTTAGCCCATATTTTAACCATGACATTTATACATGTACATGTACAGATATGTTATTTGTTTAAGGTTGATTTTTTACTGTTAGTCTGTTTGATTTAATACTGTCAATCCTTAATCTTCTATTATCTCTTTGTAGTTACTCCCTCTACTGGTCCCAGCTCGACAGTGACAGCTGCACCCCCTATATCGGATACTCCAGAGGTTAGATATATAATTATTTATTATTAGAATTTATATTGTTATTGGTTTTAAAGGTTGTATCTGGTTGAACTAAGTCCTACACAACTGTTTAACAGTATCATTTTTCTTTTACATCTACCCTTTTTACAGAAAATTGCTCTTCCCAAAGCTTGGCAAGATACCTTACCAATTGAGCAACAACGTTGGATGAGCAAAGCACTGTACCAGTTCAACCCTTCGACTGGCAAGTCCGAGATAAAGAAAGACCTGAAGATGTGGTGGTTCCCACCAGAGCCTGTCTATAACTGCAACCAACCTCCAGCTTCACCTGACGCTTACTTTTTAGAACCCTTTTTTCTCTGGGCACCACAGAGAATTTGGGGCCTTGATCTGCGCTGCACCGAGGAGTGTAAAGCAAATCAAGCTAAACAGAATGTGAAGGTACAATTACATATAGGACTTGGGTTTTTTAAAGTAGTCTTTATTGATAGTAACATTTGTTACTGATATTTATGTACAGTTTTAAGTGATATTTTTAGTATAATATTATTGTCTTGTCCTTTAATAATACAAATGTAAATATTACCTTGTGTGTACATGAATGAAGCCTTCATTTATACTTTGGGGATAGCATTGTAATGTTCAGTAATACATCTTTACTCTTCATAATCATGGATATTACACTTTTTTCTCCAATTATGTATCATTTTTTTCAGCTGTACCTTACACAATCAGGGTTTTACAAAACAGTACGGAGAGTGTTGGACATCGACCGATGGTACTTCATGGGTACAGAGTACCTAGAATGCAAGTTCTGCAAAAAAAAATTTGCTGCCTGGTCCAGTGTGGTACTTGGTCAACTGTGCTTGGGCCATCGGAGCTACTTTCCAGCACTACTCACATACAGGTACCAGTAAAAAACATAGTAGTTAATTTATTATAATAATTCACCAGCAGTAAGATGAGATGACATGAAAAAAGAAAACCCACTTGCCTTTTGCTGGAATATAATAATACCAAATTCATTTATGCATTATTTAATAGTGGCTTAATCAAATGACTTGTCCAGAAATTTGTTTTCCTATTTTTTTGTATTCAGATACTCTTGTGATTTTCGAGTTGTTGGCCTGTTAAGACAGAGGACCCTCGGGAACTCTTCCACTAAGGTGTGTAATCAAGTCGGAGAGCAGCATAGTGAATTGTACATGAAAAGGCTCTTGAGGTTTTTACAAGCTAGGGAGCCATTTCATGTCAAAGCTGCAAGTGGCTTATTCACTATTGCTGCTCCCAACAAAAAATTACCACCAATGAGACCGGTGCCTAAAGGACCTTGGTTTCTTGCTGTTTATGTGAGGGATGTCTTGAGCAGGCTAGACGAAGTGAAGGCAAAGATAACCTCTACCTTTGGCTCAGTTATCAAAATGGACTCAACGAAGAAGGTATTAGCTTCATGAGAAATTTTTCATTTTCCCATTGTAAATAATTATTATTATTATGGTGGACTCCTCTTTTAAAACAGTCGACCATTTAATGGGCAAGGGTACTTAGTAACTTGTAAGCTAAAACCATGCCAGCACAGTTTGTTGATTAAGTAATAGAAACCTTGTAGAGACAAATAATAGTAAATGGAATAATGACTATTAAATAATATTTTTTAGAAATGCATGTCCACTGGGCACTTTCATTTTCTGTATATGCATTGCATTCTTCTATTTATCAAAATGTTTTAAGAATCGTTCTTCTTTGACAATTCTGCAGGTCACTAAAAAGCTAGGAGGCAATGCTGCTGGGACAGCTTCTTGGGCCACAAATGTGGGCAATGAGCTTGGCCAGGTACTGTCATCTGTCTTGACAGATTCGGAAGGTGATGGTCTTGGCGACATGGTGACTGGCTTGGTAGAGAGATACAGAAACTCCAATGTACCTCCACCAAAACTTCTGTATGTGGATCGAGATTGCTGTTCTAGAAAGTTGAAGAGCCATTTCCATGAGTGGAGCAATCTGGTCATACGTCTCGATGTATGGCATTTTATGAGACGGTTTGCTGCTGGTTGCTGTTCAGAATCCCATGCCCTGTATGCTACCTTTATGTCTCGACTATCTGCATGTGTGATTGAGTGGGATACCGAAGACCTTCAAAGATTATATGCAGCCAAAAGGGGTCAACTCTCTGCCAGTGGGGTGTGGAGAAAACGGAAGGAAGATGTTGCTATGCATATAACCAAGAAAGAACTGGCCTTGCACTGCAAACGACGCACACGGGGAGTGGAGGAAACAACTCGTCTCATCAAAGATCTAATCGACACATTTTCTTCAGACAAAGGGAACGATACCATGGGTATACCTCTACTGAACAAAACATCCATCCAGCAGATATGGGAGGAGCAGAAACAGCACATTTCATGCATACAGGACGTAGATGACCCTTCCATTCAATTGTACACCCAGACTGGTACATTGAAGAAGGGTGGTGTTGAGCTTCCCATCTACAGGTGTGCCCGAGGTTCAACATCATTGGAATCATTCCATCTACACATTGATCGCTTCATTCCAGGTAAAAAACAAACAAAATGCTCTTCTTATAAAACAACAATGTCCTCATCTGCCTTAAGGATCACCTCTGTTAACAAGAAATGTTGACTTGACAGATATGAAGAGATGTGTAAGGTACATTCCAAGTACTGTCTGTGTTTCTGAAAAGATTGTACTGAAACAGAAAGTTGTGTTATTTAATGGTCTAAGACCATCTTATATAATGGTAACATCTTTCTTCTGGCACTCCTTTTAAATGCTTGAATTTTTTACTTGTAGGTACAATAGCCAATGATGTCCACTTCCAGTGCTATCTACTTGAGGGCATTGTACGCTGGAATGAAGACAGGGCTTCGGCGGCCATGATTGATGGGTGTGATTCACTAACAAGCAGCTACTCTTCCTCCCTAAAGTATGAAATCAACCGCTTGACCAAAATGGTGTATGGTGAAGAGCAGCACAAGAAATTTGACCATCCTGGCAAGTACACAGGTAATGTGGGTTTTGTTTATCTTGATCATGTTTTGCATGGGGTTAGGCAACAGATAAATAGTGCTGTGTCAGCTACTAAGTGTATTCCATGTATGAGCAATCTATAGGCCGCTGCTTTCCACCTTCATTTGGAAGGTTGCAGTTCCTAATAACCTCATAAAACTCACATACCAATTTGAATTGTTCTTGTTGTTACACAATTAGGTGAGAAAATGGGGGTAGAATATCTTTACAGCCAGACAGGGAAGACTTGGTCTTCAGATGTCAGTCGTCTTGATCCAGATGAACCTGATGAACTCACTGATGACTCGACTGATGACTCCCTCGATGAAGGTTTTGCAGAGAGTGAAGAGGTGGATCCCACTGTTGGTGACCTACATGTAGAGCCATCTCCTACAGATCAGCAGCCCTCAAGTGCAAACACTGGTATTTTATACAATTGAAATTAATGCTAATCTGTGATTATTTGAGTTACAAGAGAGTCTTTCCCTTGAACTCTTTGTTTTAGTTCGGGCATTTTCAATATTGTTTTGGTTCTTCTTCTTTCCAGCTCAGTCATCAAGCCAAGAAGACAGCTCCACTACAAATGAAGAACCACCAACAACTGATGTCCATGTACTTTCTGATTCTGATGACACTTCTGATACTGAGTTGCAGGTAAGAATACGTGTTGTATGGGTCATAAATTACTTTTAGCCTGGCCAATAGTGACTTAATTATATCTACAAAATCATTATTATAGCTTCTGTGTTTTCTAATCTTTGCTGTTTCCTGTAGGAGACAGTTGGTCCTCTTGGGATTCTTGGTTGGGAGCAGATCCAGCAGCTTGCCAATGCACTCTTTGATCTACGGGATTGCACTGCCCTAACCGAAGCCCAAGTGAACCACCTGATAAGGGTATGGAGTTTACTCCCTACTGCGCTCAAGGAGGCAAAAGTCATGTACCCTCCACGTTACCGCAGTGATAATAAACACTGCGGTAGATTCATGCAGAAGAAAGCAAGTGCAACCCATACGCAGACAGTGACACCCGGAACAGTCAGTCTTAGAAGGTGAACACAGTGGATAGTTGTCAAGTTCTAACAAATGCTTGAAACGGAAAAATATACACACATCAAATAAACAATTCAGATTTCTCTAAGAGTTTTTTTTTTCATATCTATAAATACAGGAAAGAGAAAAATACTTTTAGTCAAAGTTGTGCTGAGATTTTTTTGTATCATTACTATACTTTTTGGGAGGGGCGAGAATAGGGGGCATGGAGCTGTGAGTAACTTGTCAAGTAAAACGCGTAATATTGCCCACACTACATGTAGCTAGCTCATTGCTAAAAGTAAAAATCACCTTCTGTTTCCATTTTATATCCCTCTTGTCTTTTTAAAAGAGTTTGAATAAATGTTTTTCAGGGCAATGGTTGGTGGAAACTCTGGTCCTGCTACTCATGTAGATGCAAGCCCTCTGGTGGAGGCCATTTGTGTCAAATTAGAGGCAACATATCATTCTCCACAGAGGCGTAATGGCAAAAGTGTTTCTAGGTGGAGACTCATCTTAGACAAGTATCATAACATCAGGAACCTTGTCACCTTGCATGACCGTCTCATGAACGCAACCAACATTCAATTATACGAGCTGAACCAGACTACTCTTCTGACGTGGTAACTAGCAAAATTTTCAGTTTATATAATATGATAATCAATGACAGGATGAGAATTTTTCATGCTTGGCAGGTACAACACAGTTCCCTTCAAAACCCCTTCTCTTCAATTCAAAAAGCTTGACAGTGGACCAAATTTACATTTACATGCACAACACATTTTTACTGTACCAAGAATAATAATACAGTGTTTGTTAATATTATTTTGTCTACAGGTTTAACAAGAGACAGAAAACCATAGAGAACAGGGTTCTGATCCAGTCCCTCCCACCCACTGCACCGGTTGAGTCTGCTGAGCCACTTCCTCCTGCACACTCACTTTTGTCCAAGCCACCAACCTATCCAGCTCGAACGCCACACGACTTTAAATCTATTCCACATCTACCAACTGAAAGACCTAAAGGCACACAAAGAGTTGTACCTCCAGCGGAAGGGGCAGTCCGTGTATATAACAGTCCCACTGTTATACCAGTGCCACGTACAACACTGTACAACCAGCGTAAAAGGGCAGCTGAAGCAGAAACGCCTACAAGTACTGAAACTGCAAGCAAACGGAAGTACCAGAGGTCAACGACTTTTAACGTCTGCAGACAGTGCCACCTGCCGAAAACGAAGACATTTGGTCACAGTCGCCATGTTGGTAGATATGGACTAGAAACCTTTTGTCCTTCAGTAGAGGGGAAAAGGTATGCAAGTGTGGATGCCTGGCTCCAGGAAAGGCGAAGAGAAAATCCAAAAAAAGAAAAAAATAATTCTACATGACAAAATTTTTAGTCTTATCTATGATTTTTGTTTTGCAAATTACATTATACCCAAAGCAGCTATGATTTTGATTTCAATTTACCAAGTCACCAAGTTTACAATATTTTCCCCCATCAGTGTGACGGTGCTTTGTCGTAGCGATGGGGCCCATTTGTGCTCTCTAACAAGTGCACAACTGCTAAATCCGTCACATAATTAGTTGTCATAACTGAAATTCTAAAGCATTCAACCTTGACGTGATTTTACTTTTGCTTATTTGGAAATTGCAAAAGAAAGGGTGCAACGTGATGTTATGGATCAAATCCTGGTGGTTGGCCGCACCCATGCTTAGATTTCACAATGGACAGCTACATTGATCTTTATTCATTGATAAGGAATAATTTCCTAATTATTAATAGACTATTATGACATGAAAATTCCATGTGACTATTTTCAGTATTTTTACATTGTGTTTAGTTATGACCGTTACATTTTGATTCAAGGGTTGAGTAGTATAATCATATGATAATTAATCTTGAAGGTTTTTGAATTTCAACTTTACAGGCCAGTAGACTGTAACAGATGACTGTGCACTTGTAATTTGGATTTGACACCATATTTTGGTAAGTTTGACTAGTATGTATCTATAGAATGGCCCCTGAGTGTTTGAAGCTTTTTTTTTCATTTTCTTGTATTTTTTCTCTCTTTTTTTGCATTATTTTCTTTTTTTTCTATTTTTTTCTTAATTTTTTTTTTATTTTTCTCTGGCGGGAAGATTGCGTGGGATTTTTTGCGCAGGGGCCATGCTAATCTTCTCTGTATCGTTCCAATTTTAGTATATGTGCTACCGAAGTAACACGTCTTTAATCTCGTTTGCGTCAACTTTATATTACTGGAAGAACCTAACAACGCACTCATGTGGTAAGCTAATCTTAATGTCAATAACCAATCAGTGACCTTCTTTATTACTTAACAGTCATGCGCGGAAGCACTGATACTCTGATAAGCAAGCCAGAAATGAGAAAAGACGTTTTTTTGTTGGATTTTTTCCACGTCTTCTGCGTGGAAAAACTGTTAAAAATGAAATCATTATAGTCCACAAATTAGTGCCATTTATGATAAATTTTTCGGGATTTGTGACTAAACAGTTACAGCTAGGCTGCTGTCACGCTATAGTTGTGTCGAATCGTCAAAGCGGTTGAACCGAAGTAGAAGTTGTTGGAAAACAATTTGTGTAGTGCACCCAAGAGAGGTCCCCAACAGACGCGTCTCCAACCTAAAGTATGCGCTTTTTCCCGCCTTTTTTCGTTAAAATCTGCGAGTAGACTGGAATCTAATGCCGAGCGACCTTGCTGAAGTAATTTGCTGAAGTGCTTTCGAAATGGTGGCCATGCATGTGACTCTATTTTGACTTTCGAAGGAAATGGGACCATGTTTCGGAGGATTTCCTCTGTAGGTACGTGCAAAACTATCTGCTTTTTCCTGTTATTTATAATGAAACCAGAAAAATACAATTTTTTCTCAATTCAGAAAGTATTCGAGACAAGGAACGTGACTTGCTCGAACCTTTTGGTTTGTGCGGACGACTCTCTTCTACCCCAATACCTCGCAGCTTGTGCACTCAAAATAGGCTGACCTTTCGCGTTTTAGTCGGTGAAGACGTTAATTGATCACCTTAAATGAAAAAGTTGTGTCAACAGTACACTCAATACAGGCGCGGATCTAGGATAAGTTCATGCCGACCGTTTTCCTAAACGAGCGCCTAAGGCGTATGCTTCTAGTGGGGTCCAGGGGCATGCATCTCAGTGAAATGTTTTTAGATTTTTACTCCATGAGGTCACCTTTCGTGGGTTTCTCAGTCATTCAGTCAGGATATTGGCCAGATTTTAATTTGGAAAGTTTTTTTTCTTGAGAAATTTATTTGGAAAACTCTGACCAATTACAAACCGGTGTGGATCCATGCCTGCAATATCAATATCTCTCCATCTCTCGGCTCCCACAGCTCAGTGAGGCCCAGTTAAGAACAACTGTTTCTCGTTCGGGTTTCTATAAAAAAAATGGAGCTTCTGTAGGGCACCATTTTTTGTTGTGTCCAACTCTTTTATTATTTCCAATTGGATGTTTTCTTGACAAGTTATTTACTTCTCACCAGGAATATCTTGGAGCAGGTTGGAGTTTTTCGGTGCAATATTATTTAGTGGAACACCAAATATTTATTATACACAAATTTGGTTTATTTTGATACATGCTTTAAAAAACAAAAACTTAATTCGTCATACATTATACATCTCAATAGGTAGCAAGGGTGCATTGGAAATGTCAATAGGACCTTGTATTTAATAAACGCTTTGTTTTAAGATTAAGCCTGCCTGAAAACTCTCATGATTTTCTTATTTGGCTTTTTCCTGTGGATTTTGTTGGTACCTGTTTGCAAGGAAGCAAATTTAGAAGTGGACAGGGACGAGAAACATGTTGTTGTTGTTTTTTTCTAGGCCCAATTATGTTTCTTCAATCTTAAAATCAGGGTCCAAAGAAAGTCAGTTTTACAGCTTGCCATTCGGGCAAGCTTTAGCTAGTTTGTACTTGCCCAAGTCATTTCAACTCCCCTGTAAATTTTTTTTAGAAGCAGGATTGATTACAGTCCTTCTATAATTTTTGAATTCCCCTAAAAACTTCACTTGCTCTTTGGGCAAGTTAAGAACAGAAGGCACTAGCACGTTAGCAAAATCCACTAGCCCTGGGCTATCCGACAGTACTGTCTTTGCTCACTAAAAATATAATCTCTTTGAATTAAAATTTGGCTTTAGACCTACTAAGTCTTGCTGTTTGTTTGTTTATTGCATTTTTGTTTATTTTTTGAGAAAGCCTAATATCGTGTAAATGTTGTGGTTTCATCTAGGTTTCTTTGCCACTTATTGTTATACCTGTATTTATTTTTTTTTATGCCCCTTTTTTATTGCAGTAGAGCAAATTTGAAATAAAGAGTAAACCTCATGGGTCAGTCAATTCCAAGGGGACTTATCTTGTGGTATTTGTGGTCATTTGTCAAGTGTTGTGTTCTCATAATGGGTCATTTTTTTTCTGCCACTTTTTGAATAAAAAAAAATCAGACTACTCAAACAGTTGTAAAAGCTTCTCACACTAGCCCCATGACCTTATGGCCTGCTGTTCTTTCCAAAACCTCTTCTGCAATGGCTGCACTGTTGTTTTCTGCAGTATTTTGTCCAGTGAGGGCAATATAAATTAAATTATTTTTAGAATTTTGAAGTTATGAAATATTTCTTTATACATGTAGGCCATACTTTTGCAGAGATGTGACACGAAGATTTATCTTTTAAAGTGACACACAAAAAATTTGTTTTCTTGCGATGTCTAAGTGGTCAAAGAGTTATTTTCTAACCCATCCTCTAATTGGGAAAATGCTGTTTTATAGTCGATTTTTGTTAAGCATTCTGTTGCTGCTGAGTTTTTTTTGTGAATTGAATACTGCTTTTTCCTTTTTTTTTCACAGCATAGATTTCCATTTTAGTCATTTTCAAGGAAATGTAATTTTTGCATTGCCCTTAAGGGTTGGGCTTTTTTCATATATTTTAAACCCCAGGATAGGTATTAATCTTTTGCCACCACTGAGCATTTCAGCTTTCCAAGGAAAATATGATAAATACCTGGGGATCGATTATGTTATGTACTGGGAAAATTTCAGGTTAACTTGGATTTAGCCTCGGTTGATTTTCAATTTGATTTGTTTGCTATCCCTTTAGAGAAGACAAACAAATTTGACTGATGGATGATTATGGAATTTGACAACTGTTTCTGTGTTGATGCTAGTATTCATTTTTCAAGTTAAGCTTACACGTACGTGCCTCCATAAACCTTTTTCAGAGGAAAGGATTGTTCTTATTGTCATCAATGCTTTTAAAAAAAGAGATTGTGAGTTTGGGGTTGATCAAAGCTAAAAAATATTAATCAGTCTTGACTAAAGACATTTGATGTCTTGAGTCTTGCTTTCTCTTAAAATAATCTTGTTTCAGTGGTACGTAAAATGAGTATGATAAATCAGGGATAGGTTACCGCTGCTAATAAAGTCTTCTGATGTAGTTTTTAGTAAATATTCTGGAAACTGAACTTGTTTTGATCAAACTACGTAAATCAGCGCATGGAATCTCACAACTGCTTTTATCTTACTTATTGTAAGGAGTGGGAGTAGAAGTCTCCAATATGAGTTAATGTACTATTTCTAAAAGCTACACAAGGACCCTAAACATACATGTAAACAGCCCTTGTATACCACACTAAGTACCATCCTTTAACCACTCTGGTGGAAGTCGTTCATAGTTTCTTTTATAACTTCAACAAGTTATTCATTGGTGAGAGGCGAGGAACTATCTGACCTGAAAATCTCTTAACGGGGTGCATACAGGTTATGGAAAACCTGGAAATTTTATTTTATGAAATTTAAAAGTTTCATTTTCCAGGCCTGAAAAGTCATGGAAGTTAATTGTCGTTCCTGGAAAGTCATGGAAAATTAATATTATGCCCGATAGATTTGTATTACTGCAGAGGACAAAACAAGTATGATGTAAAAAGGAACTCAAGTAACATGGCACACATTTTGGTGGACAGCAGAGTTTGTGTCTGTTGAACTGAGTTAGGTCAAAAACTATGCTGAAACAAGTAAACATTTGAAAATATTTGAAAGGAGCCCCGCTCCTTTTTTGTCTTGGATCGTCCATGTTGTTTTGCTAGACTTAGTTACCTGTGTAACAGGTTTATCGTTGTAAATCTTTGTTATTCTCAAGCCATTGGGCCGTGTAACCCGCAATAACTTGTTATCTCAAGAATAAAGTGTTTCTTGCGAAATAACAACAATGCATTTTTGTTGAAACTCCCAAGGATGTTATGAGGGCAACCACAATAGTGTTTATCAAAGAGACAACTAAAATGACAACTACAGTAAATTTATTTACTTTGAGATGATCGAGTCTATTTTGGAAATAAAACTTAATATAATAATTTATATTCATGTGAACACAGCAAATGGAAACACTTATATTCAGCACCTTGCAATTCATTTTGGTATTTATTAAGTGAGAAGTTTACGATTCCAGAAG